CCTCTTAAATCAACGGTGATTCAGCAAGATTGGGCACCTATAGAGCCGCAGACATTACCTTGTGTTTTGCAAGTTAATCATTCCATAAAGAAACGTTTCTTCAATTAATTCAATTTACCACCTTTTACTTTAAAAAGTAACGAAAACAGACCTCCAAATTCTTGAAATTAGCGAAAACCATGTTCCCGGTGACGTTAAATTTGGATGGAATGCGAGACTACCGCAGAGGGAGCCACAGACAGGGAGGGTGAGGGGGGGTGGGGGGAGGGTGAGGGAGGGGGTGCGAAGGGGGCTATGGGAGGAAGGCTGGACACTAAATAATGATGTTGGTTGCCAAGGAATGTGTCCTTTACCTGTCCGTTCGGCACGAGGATGTTTTCAGGAGATAAGACAACAAGATTAATTCGTCCGTGCTGTGAATGTATTGCTTTGGGGTCTTTTAAACAGATTTTGATTCACATGTGCAAATGCATACTTCATCATTACGTGGCAGAAAATTAATTGCGAAGTAATTTTACCTTTCCTTTCTCTCTCTCTCGCTCTCTTTCCTTGGTTTTCTCTCTCTCTCTCTCTGTAATGTTGAGAGAAGTCACGATATAAGCACATGCAGGTTATATGGTCAGATTAATCAAAGATTTTTTATATTAATTTCCAACAACCAATTTTAATCATCTTTTTAATTTCTCTTATCATTTAGCCTTTGCCAAATTAAGAATAATAGAGGGAAAGAAAAGGAGAGAAGTAGACATTATCTAAGCATGAGAAGTCAGTGAATGAAATTGTCAGTTGAATTAATATTTATAACGATACATTTTAATCATATTCCTTTCTTTTGTTGCCTAAGCCTCCAGTCACACAACAATAAAACAGAAACATTCATTAAAACATCGCAGTGGGAAAGAAGATACAATCAGACACTATCTCCAACACATGTTTACACCAACCAGATCCCGGAGGAGACACGAGGGAAACGTCGAAAAGGTATGTGTTGGAGAGGGAGGGGTGGGGGAGGGAGCCAGAGAGAGATAGGGGACAGAAGGAGGAGAAGAGGGGTGGGAGGGAGCCAGAGAGAGATAGGGGACAGAAGGAGGAGAAGAGGGGTGGGGGAGCCAGAGAGAGATAGGGGACAGGGGAGGGAAGAGGATGGGAAGGAGCCAGGAAGAGACAGAGGGACAGGGGGAGGGGAAGAGGGGTGAGATATATAGGGGATAAACAGGGGAGGAGGGAAGGTATATGGGGGAGATTGTGGGAGATGGGGGAGATATACAGGGGGGAGAAGGGGAAATACGGGGATACGGGGAGGAAAAGGAGACACTGGGGAAATTTGAGGGGAAGACGAGGAGAAAAGGGGGAGAGACAAGGGAGAGGGAGAGATGTGAGGGGGAAGACAGGGGAGAGATGGAGATGTGAGGGGGAGGACAGAGGAGAAAGGGGATATGAAGACAAGGAAAAAGAGAGAGATATGAGGGGGAATACTGAGTGAAAAGTGGGGGGAGCTATGAGGTAGGGGGGCGCCAAGAAGGAAAAAAAGGGGGGCGGTGAAGGTCAGACCTGCCGTGCGTGTCCAAAGTTATCTGGTGGTCGCGAGACTTGCCATGTCCGTAGATACTCTGTCATACTGCCAGTGCGAGTTACATAGTCTGTCACGTGGACATGCTACGGCACCCTCGCCTTGTGCTAGACCGATTTCGTCAAAAATTTGAAAGTTTACGAGTGTGTTTATTTCTTGTCTTTTCTTAAAGGAGAGGTACAACATATTTAGCATGTGTGTTTATTTTCCCCTGTCAGGTATTTCGATGAGAGAGATATATTTGTAAATTTTTAGATGTTCTCAATACTTGTAGAAATATACAGTATAAATAATTTCCATTTCTCATTGGCGATATTTTGATAATTTCTTCTCTACAAATAATTAGTGGACGTTGTAAATTAATAATAATAAAAAAACAACAACAGATATTGTCAGACCATGGTATGATAATTAATATCAAAATGCACACAAAAATCAGTTTTTCTACATCATAATCATGTAGACACAGACGATGCTTATGATATCTTTATATTAGAGCAAACAATAAAATGGAGGCGGCATTATAACAATAATTAAAATCAAAGGAAGAAATCCCAATAACAACGTTTATTACACGAGAAACGAACATGAAAATTGAATTTAAAAAGTAACCGAAATAAAGGCTGAATATTTGCAACAGCTTTTTACATTTGAAATTCAGAAACCTATGTGATGAAAACTAATAAAGGAATTAATACAGGTGAATAAACCCTGTATGAAAACGAATAAAGGAATTAAGACATAGGCGTAAAAGTAGAAAAAAAAAACTAAAACAGTAAGAAATTGCACCGCATAACAGACACATTGCTCGGCTTTTTATGTCTTTTTTACTAAGCATCAATAACGAACACAAACGACGAAAATGATAGTTGAAAATAACCAATATAGCGCTACTGTCCACAAAATATAATTCCGAAATTCAAAATCCACAATTTCGAGTATCTAGACAGGTCCCGAGACCTTCTTGAACTATCTTTAATGGATTTTGATATGCATGTAATAATAATCACTGTAATGTTAAAAGATAAAAACAGGGTGATGTGCAAAATAGTGATGATGGTATGAACATTATATTGCAATAATAATAGCTGTAAGAGTGATAATGATGATGATAATGATAACACTAATAACATAAATGAAACGGCAACAATAATAATGATAATGATAATGGAAACAATAATATTATAACCCTAATAATAATGATGATAGTAGTACTAGTAACATCAATAATAATGATGATTGTTGTAATAATAACTAATAATTATAATAATGACAACACTAAGGATAATAATAACAGCAAAAATAAGATGAGAGTAATAACAATGTTAATAATAATGATAGTAATAACAGAGATGATGATGATGATGATAATGATGATGACGATAACAACAGAAATAATAATAATAATAGCAATAATAAGTGGTTGACTTGTAACAGCATATCCTTGTACTTAATTGTTTAACCTGAAGTACAGTATATACCCCATTCGAGTACTGTCGAAACGGAAAAAATCCGATCTTTTAACCCATCATCAGATATCAAAAAAGGGAAGACCATGTCCAACACAAGCTAAAATGACCATTATTCCTGCTTTCAATACCCTGTATAAATTATACAACTACGTTATCCGAATAAGTAAACAAATGCAACGTAAAGCAAATACTCACACTTGGCATCTTGATCTGCTGTGTAAACTTTTTGACTTTCCGTGCATGCAATGTCGACAACAAATAACAAAAATAACTTATAGACGATTAACATGGATGATACCTAAGCTTTGATTCCTTTTAAACGTTACGTCCAGTCACAATTTCTATTTAAAAAAGTCTCCCCTGAAGCGTATATTTCCTCTTCGTCTTCTCTTATTGAGGGTTTTAGACTACTGAATCGTCTTATTTTGAGCTTCTTGTTTCTTAAATTATGTCAAATAATTTTGTTCTTCGTAGGAAAATCTATGTGTCTCATATTTATACTTTATGAATAATAGCTGATTTGCACCTGTAATCCGATTTATATTAATATTTTGTATATTAACTTGTATGACGGCTCGTTTGTTTTTATTCTGTTGGAGTTGAATCATGGAGTGCAGTTTTATGGTTCTATGGTTATGGGTAATTTTTCATTTTTATTCTATGTAGATGTTTTAGTCTTGTGCGTTTGGTTGTTAATCTTGTGAAGCATGTGTCTAGTTTTCTGTTCCTTGGTTATTGATTGTTGCCTTTGTTGAAATATTTAGCATTTAGGATTCTCTTTAGATTTCATTCCCTTTGTTTACAGTTTTTCAGTTCGATTTCTTTCATAGCACATTTTCATTTTGGGTTTTGTGGTATGAGCATGGGCCTATTTATATCATGAGCTATCTTTGCAGCTAGATCGGACATATCATTTCCCTTTATAATTCTATATGATGGAATCCAATGAATCATTGTCATTTATTTTTTGTGTTGAAAGAGTCTGTATTTGAATTTTTGTATTTCATATGTGATATGCTTGTAGTTTAATGGTTTGGAGTTTTGTATTAGTTGTAGTGATAATTGTGTCTGTTAATATTACTGTGTTAGTTTGTTGTAATTCAATCCTTGATTTATGGCAAATAGTTTTGCATGAATTATTCCTATTCCTATTATTTATTTATTGTTGGGGGGGGGGTAATTTTAAAAGTTATATCTTTATTCTGGATAAAGATTTCTGCTGAGTGATTCTGGATCGTGTATCGTAGAGCCATCAGTGGAAATTCTATAAAATTTACAAGTAGTATTTATAAATTCTTGGTATTGTTTTTGAATGATAATTTGAGGGACATTTTTATTATGTTACCCATAAATTTTGTTTGTATGTTTTCTGATATATCATACTAATGGGCGTATTGGGTTTGATATTTCATTCTTTCAGTTATTTCTAGGTTTAAGGCTGTTCTTGTTTCAGTAGTTTTATGTAGGCCTACTAGTGATCTTGTATCGGTTATATTCATAAATGCAATTTGTTATTTGTGGTTTTATCGGCATTGTATTTGGTCTAAGAACTGTGTCAATTGTATACATTCAAGTTCTTTTATTCTGTTTGTTCGTGGCGTGATTGGCGTTGCCGGTGTCAGTATTGGATTTTGTAAGGTTTCTATTGTTTTTAAATTTTATCTTTTGCTGCTCCATAGATTGTCATTCCATAATCTCTTTTTGTTGTTATGTATATTTCATAGAAATCTAAAAGAGTTTTCCGGTTTGCTCCTCAGTTATATTATCATATTGATGTAATAATGATGATTATACTAGTGGGAATGACGGTAAGAATTAAAACCTGCAACAATAAAAATGGAAAAAAGATCGATGTACACTGTCATCAAATTCCAATATCTTTACTAGAAATATCGAAAAAGATTATATGAATAAAGCCCAATGACTCGTAAATTTACAGTAAATGTACCGTGGAACTTACCATTTTGTCCTTTGAAGATCGACCGTTATTTGCACCGTCTCTGCTGCCGACGCCATCTTGCTCCGTAGCGAAAAC